TATATTGCCGAGGCTAGTGTTGAACTCCTAGCCTCAAGTAATCATCCTGCCTTGGCTTCCCAAAGTGCTGGGATTATAGGTGTGAGCCACAGTGCCTGACCAGATACATCATCTTATAATTTTAATTTTCCCACTGAACTTGGTCACCTGGCTTCTGGTGTTGTCATGCTCCACTTACGTACACACACCCCACCTGGATGGGACATTCATGCCAAGGGCAGTCAGAATGTACCCCTCTATGGCCCTGGATGTCCCCTCGGTGTTCTCTGCTCTCCCCACTGGCATCATGGTGACTGTTCTGGCACCTGTCATGATGAGAAGATACTTGTCCTCAGCTGTCCTTAAAGTGGTATTTCCAGCCAGTGTGTTATGAACATTGAATGCTATAAAGACTCACTGCTGATGAAAGAGCTCTATAAACATGAAACCAAAATGCAACCGTGATGCCTGTCACCATCTCTCAGTCCCCAGAGGAAGTATAGAAACTCTAGTGTATTGTATCCTCTGGTGCTCCGGCTTCAGCCTGAGGATCAATGGGGGTATGTAGGTAAGTGGGTGAGGCTGGAGCACCAAGACTTGGCTTATATTTATGAAGTAAAAAGAAAACCAAGCCGCTCCAATTTAAAACCTTTTTTTTTTTTTGCTATATTGAGCTTACCTTTTTATTACGTTTTGTATTCATATTTTAAACATATTCAAAACCACTGATTTAAGCAGCTATTCCTCTTACATTGTAAATTCTGTGTTTTCTCTCTCCTCCTCTGGATTCTAGCACTGCAATGTGTGTGAGGAGTATGACCTTGTCACGTTGTGTTTTTGGTTTCAGGCACAATGCCAAACGAAGAGTGGCTTCTTGGCAGTTATTTGTTCAGTGAGTGGATGAAGGGATGAAAATAAAACTTCAATATGTGTTGATTTTTCAACTTTTAGAAAACTCAGAGACAAAGCCTGGGAAACTGAATTATGGGTATGGCATGTGAATGCTATTGATCTTGACAATGTAAAAATAGTAGTAAAGACGCAAGGAGAGCTGATGAGACCCTCATCTCTTCCACAAAGGAAGGAGTCAAAGACACTCTGTAGGGTGGACGAGGCAAGAAGCACAAATGTATCATCTCTCTCTCTCTCTCTTTCTATATATGTGTGTGTGTGTGTATATATAGAGATGCGTGTATATGTGTGTGTGTGTATATATATAGAGATGCGTGTATATGTGTGTGTGTGTATATATATAGAGATGCGTGTATATGTGTGTGTGTGTATATATAGAGAGATGCGTGTATATATGTGTGTGTGTGTGTGTATATATATGTATATATATTCTGTTTGTTTTGAGACAGTTTCCCTCTTGTTGCCCAGGTTGGAGTGCAATGGCACAATCTCTGCTCACCACAATCTCCACCTCCCCGGTTCAAGTGATTCTCCTGCCTCAGCCTCCTGAGTAGTTGGGATTACAGGCATGTGCCACCACTCCCAGCTAATTTTGTATTTTTAGTAGAGATGGAGTTTCTCCATGTTGATCAGGCTGGTCTTGAACTCCCAATCTCAGTTGATCCGCCCAGCTTGGCCCCCCAAAGTGCTGGGATTACAGGCGTGAGCCACCACACCTGGCCTCATCTGTATTTTTAAATTACAGAATTAACCACTAGGGGAGCTAAAGGTAAGGCTACTTTTGGAGGGATGGGAGTTGGGGTGGGGAGTGGTGTGGGGATGCAGGAACGAGATCCTCATCTTTCACAGCAGAAAATTATTCAAGTCTTAAATGCATAAACTAAGAAACACAAGTAACATATAATTTAGAGGTACAGGTCATTGGAAGAAGTAGCAAAAAGTGTTAGACGTGGCTGCCCTGAGGTATGCCATCAAGGATGAGAAGAGGGCAGGGAAGAGAGACTCCTGCTTTACAGTAGAAGATTTTTGATGATATATGTATATTTTTAAATCTGTGTATGTTTTACGTTAATTTTCTAAAAACTAAGAGAGTTTGACAGCCCTAGTTGGCATTAAAATACAGAGCCCTACTTTGTTCCTGCGAAAATCAACAAGCACAACAAGCCTTGTCATATCCATGCTCATTTCAGAGTCAAGACAAAATTAATTTGGAAAAGAAAATACAGCCGGGGAACAGAGTTAGCAACCTCAGGAAATTCAGGGAAATGTAATTGAGTAAGAATTATCTCCTTAATTACTTCTGACCAAATCAATAACAACGCTGGATGAGAAACCACGGTTGCCACCAATGAGGATCAAGTCTCTGAGAAACTAATTGGGGTTCAGGCTTGTTTGAAAAGCAAAATACTTTCCTCTTCATCGTTAGCAAACACGGTTCCTGGGGGTGTGCGCGGAGACAGAAGACTGCAGTTTGCAGCCTGGGGTAGAGAAATGAGCTGAACTTGCTTATTATTTTCAAACATGAAAGCCTGAATAGAGGAGCCCCTTTCTCCAAAGAGGTGCAGGCGTGGATGCCCTTGATGATGTCAAATGCTCATTTTCATGCTTTCCTGGGGCTAATCAGAGACCCAAGCAGGTTCATCATGCAAATTAGAAGGAAGTGAGCCAAACGCCACAAAGGTAGGTGAGGGAGCAGTTTTGTTTGCAGAGCACAAGCTTTTTGTGGGAACTGCAAAGATTTCTTTCAAACCATCTCCATGTGCCTTTGGGGAGGGAGAGGTGAGGATCTTTGTCTCTAAGGGGCACTGCTGGGCACAACCTTCTAGATCTCTTATTGTTCTGGAGCTGGGTTAAGATCTTACCTAGAGCTGAGATTCAAGAGTGCCCTATCTGCCTAACCTCCAAGAGACCTCCCTGTCCTCATCCCTGTTGGGGTCTCTTGGCAACTAACCAGGACCTTCTCAAGTCCGGCTCATACTTGGTGCCTTGCTCCTTGCTCTTCTGACCTGTGGACTTGTCAATAAATCATCCTCACTGTCCAGATATTTCCCCATTCAGAAAGGTCTTCCTGATCCCCTCTGGGGGTCCCAGCTAAGAGCTAGGAAACACACACCCACCCCAAAACTCCCTCTCAGAGTCTCACTGATGGCAGGGTGGTGAGGGGGAGGTAGGCAGACAATAAAGCAGTTACGATACCATATGATGTAGCTGTGGTGGGAGTGAGGGAGCTGGGGGTGTGAGCGCACAACTGACCCAGCAAGGGTAGAGGGACAGTCAGAAGGATAAACAAAATGACTTTTTTTTTGGAGACAGAATCTTACTCTGTCATCCAGCCTGGAGCACAGTGGGGTGATCTTGGCTCACTGCAACCTCAGCCTCCCAGGTTCAAGTGACTCTCCTGCCTCAGCCTCCCAAGTCGCTGATATTACAGGCATGTGCAACCATGCCCAGCTAACTTTTTTGTAGTTTTAGTAGAGACGGAGTTTCGCCATGTTGGCCAGGCTGTTCTCGAACTCCTGACCTCAAGTGATCTGCCTACCTCGGCCTCCCAAAGTGCTGGGATTCTAGGCATGAGCCACCATGCCCGGCCTAAACGAAATGACTTTTCGTTTACATTTCTGAAGGATGAGGAATGATTAGTATGTGAGGTGATGGATATGTTAATTAGCTTGATTCAATCATCCCCCAATGTATACATACATCAAAACATCATGTTGTATGCCATAAATATATACAATTTTTCATTTTTCAGTTGAAAAAATAAATAAAAGAAGAGGAAGGAGGAAGATGTGCCAGGCAGAGGGGATAGCATTTGCAAAGATTGGGATGGAGGTGGGTGAGAGCTTGATAGTGAAGGTGGCTCAGTCCAGCTGGAGCATCCCAATAGGGTTGGTGGAGGGGAGGGGTGAGGAACCAGGGAGCTGCAGGAAGGGCCAAATCATGAATGTGACAACAGCTGGGATCTGGGATTTTATGCTGAGGGCACAGGGGGAAGATGGGCTGAGGGGATTGATCATGGCTGCTGGGACTCTCCCCAGGCCACTGTGATTGGGAGTGGAACACCAACTTGTAGCTGTGTGATTAAAGCCCAATGTTATGCTCTTAGACTCCAAGCCCAGGAAATTTGCAACTTGGTGATTAAAGCTCTACGTTATGCTCTTAGACTCCAAGCCCAGGAAATCTGCAGACTGGCAGCTAGACTGTACTAGTCTCCTCCAAGGCATAGACGTGCCAATCAACTCCCCAGGGGAGCCTTCCTATCTCACCTTCCATCCATGTGGCTTCAGAGGTGAACACTGGATGCAGGCCCGTCAGTCAGAATAGATCCTCCCTGGCTTCAGGGAGGATCTTAGTTTTTTATGAGTCTGAGACCCAAAGAAAGACCAAAGTATTTAGTCTCAGGCCATTTGCTGCTGCTCTTGGGAAAGAGAAGGTCCCTTTCAGCTGGGGTTGCTCCCATGGAAGAATGTCAGCCTAGAGCTCTTGGTGACTATCTTGGCCATCAACTTGGTAAAGCCTGTCTGAGAATGAAGGCAACACAGGAGAAAGAAGAGTATGTATCTGGAGATAATGTTTGAAGATAGTTTTCTCTTTTGTGTAGGCCACATTGAATTGGGGTTTTCTATCATTTGCAACTAGCAGGATCTTGATTTGACCATAATTTTGTTAGCATATTGCAAATATTTTTGTCGCGATAACCCCAAACTACACCCCTGGAGAGTTACACTAGTTCCCTGTGGCTAAACCAAAATCCATGGGAGATCTTTCGTCTAAAAATTATCAGAGATCATCAGCATTGAGAGATTACCCAGCATGACACCTCCATCACATGACAGACACACTAAAAACAGCTGCCATTTACCTACTAAGTGTCTTACTAAGTGCATACTATGTGCTACCCACTTAGTTTTACACATGTTAATTCCATTTACCCTTGCAATATATTTTGTGGGATAGGGCTGCCATTATCTCTGTTTTACAGAAGAGAAAACAGAGGTCCAGAGAGGTTAATTTCCAGAGTTACATGACAGAGTAAGGAACAGAGGTGGGGTTCAAACACAAACTGCACTTTGGCTCTAAAGCTTGTACTCCCTCTGCTTCACCAACAGATGTGCAATCCAAGACTCAGAGAAGCTGGAGAATTTTCCTAATGTCACACAACAAAGGAATGGAAGAATACACGATCCTCTCCTCCCAACATGTCACCCAGCAGGTGCAATAAATCAAAGGGCAGGGTATGGGATTTGGAGTTATACAGACCTGAGTTCACCAGCCAGGTCTTTGGCAGATAAGATTACTCTTTGAGCCTCAGTTTCCCTGTGTGCAAGGTGAGAATAATCACAGAGCCTACTTCATAGGCCTATGATGGAGAATCAACGAGGTGATGTGTGTATAAAGTTCTCAGGACAGAGCCAGGTTTATGGGGGCTCTCAATAAATGTTAATGGTGAATGTAATTGTTACAATTAATAAACTGTGCTGTTAATGAAGGTGTAAAATGCAGGTGATCTGCCACATGACCACAGGCTAGTTGCTGAATTACAGCGGCCATTGGTCCCACTGGTAAAATAGGGTTATTATCTGCCTTTTGCTCATGACACCAGGGCGTTACAAGAATTAATTAGCAGCTTTACAATTTGCTGTGCGCTTTGACGCTTTATAAACAGAGAAATGTGATGGTTGAATATTTATATGATATCCATTATTGAGGATACTTGAATTGCTTTACTGATGTTAAAATAAATTCAACCTTCCAAAAGTGGATAAATCTATCTGAGTCAAACAAACGAATACTGAGCTTTTATTATCTGCCAACATCTTAGAAACCCACAACAACTGGATATCTGGACATCCATAGGCTGATCTCAATGCCCATGTCTTGAATGTAGAAAGAGATGCTGAGATTGTGGGGCTGTCTCTTCCTCTAGATCTGAGCTCCTTCGGGGCTAAGATTACGTCTTGTCTTGCAATAGATCCACAGCCTTGAGTATAGGATTTGATATGCGGCAAGTGCTGGATAAATGCTTGATGAATGAAAGGATGGATGGATGGACAGATGGATGGACAGTTGGATGGATGAATGGGATCCTGAATCTCTTGTTGGTAGGAGATTAGATGGGTCTGGTCTCAAATGCTTGTGCCAAAGTAGATGGGGAGTCACATCAGGTATTGGGAGAGAAAACCACTCAGACAGTGTGATAAATTGGAAGGACACTTGGCATCACACAGACCTGGGTAACCAGCTCTGTGACCATGGGCCTTGGACCAAGCCCCTCTTTCTTCATCTGAGAATGTTGATAGTGTCTTTGACCCAAAAGTAACAGGAAACTCCACTCACTCTTGCTTACACATAAGGAAATTTATTACTCCATGTAAGAAGAAGTACAGAGTAGGATTTGGGATTTCAGGGTTGACTTTGAAGGTCTGTCACATCACTGAGCTCTGCACAGAGTCAATTGCCCACAGAATTAGCTTCATCCTTAGACATCTTCCCTTCATGGTTGTAAAGTGGCTTCTGGCAGCAACCAGGGTCAAGCCTTCTTTCCCCTACCCATTGGCCCAAAGGGGCTCCGGGATGCCCATCATTTGAACCAGTTGTTGGCTAAGCGAATAAGACAGCTATGACTGGCCAAGACCAGTGCTGCTCAAGCTGTGGTCCATGAACCAACGCCAGCAGCATCACTTGGGAGCTTATTACACCTGCAAATTCGTGGACTACATTCTGATCAGGTGAATTAGAACCTCTGGTGTGGACCAAGGAATCTCCACTTTCAGGCATTCCTATGGCTGTTAAAGTCTGAGAACCACTGGATTAAACTCAACTGGGAGGGGAGAGACAACTACAAAATGCAGGTGATAATGCCAACTTTAGAGGGTTGCTAAGAAAACAAATAATATCACATATGTAAAAGACTATCACACAGTAGGTGCTTAATACATTTTGGTTTCCTTCATTTCTTTCCCCTTTCAGCGATATTGAAATATTTACTCTTCTCCACCAATCATCCTCCTCCACCCAGTGCTAAATATCCTCATGCTGCTCTGAACTATGGAAACCAACCTGTAGGCTAATTTATACTAAGGTGGGAGTGACACATGGCATCGCTAGCTTAGTAGCATTTTCACCTTGAAAATGGAGAGCATGGAGTGCACGATACTTAATCTAAAAGGGTGCTTGGCAAATGGTATAATCTTAGGCAAGTAGCAAGTTTTGGTGTGTAGGGGTATGTTTTAGTGTGGACTATGCTGCTCCATCCTCAGATCATACCCCATAGGTAATTTCCTACTCTGGCCACACTGAAGGGACCAGTTGGCTAAGCTGGATGCCCGGTGGCAGCCACATGAACACAGGGGTGCGATGTGGGAGGGCTGAGGTTAGCCAGGCTGATGGCATCACCTACATCCTTCCCTTCCCCCTGTCTTCAGAGCCCTGTTGGGGACTGTTAGGGAGAACATAGCCCCTCTTGAGGCTTTGATCTTTGGCTCTGCAAGTTCCAGATTCCCTTTGAAGTATAATTATAATTAAAAGGAAAATCCCAAGCAGACACCAGATGAGGTCTGCACCTGACAGGCGCTGTTGGCAGAGTTTCCTAAGTCAACAGCTGGCTCTGCATGTCAGGCTCAAAGGAAAAAAATGAAATTGGCCACTCATTTGAAGGAACTTTATTCTGAATGAGCTGGAACTGTAAAGGTCCCTTAATCCCTGGAGAAAAGAACAGATGGGAGGGCAAGGGAAATGTTGGCAGTGAGAAGAAGATTAATTAAGTTGGATCCCAGTTCCCTGTTTCAGCAGGAGGATGCCCATCTGGGTCCTGGGTGCATCTCCTTTTAAGCACCCCATGAACTAAGAGGGTGACCCCAGTTTGTCATGCAGGCTTCCAGAGCTGGTTCTTTATCCTAAGCTAGGATAAATGAAGACTTCTTTTTTGGGATCAAGATAAATTGGGGCCTCTTGAATTGAAATATTCATAATCCTCTGCCCTTCATCCTCTATTTTTTTCTTAATAGTTTTTGTTTGTTTGAAAAACTTCCTTTGGCATTGCATGGCCCTAAATTGCAGGTCAGCGTCATCACTGTGTGACTCTGGGCAAGTTAGAACCTCCCCATGCATCAATTTCCTCATCTGTAGAAAGGAGACATTCATAATATTGCCTTTCTTTTTAGAGGTATGAGAATTATAGCTAAGGAATTCTAGGTACCTCGCATAGTACCTGGCATTTAGTGTGTGCTTAATAAATTCTGTCTATTAAGACAATTGCGGGCTCTGCCAATAAGCTTCTCAGCTCTTGAAGGCCTAAACTAAACCTTCCTACAAAGAGTCAGTATGAATTAAACAATCTTAAGACTACAAAGGGATCCTCAAGACAGATTATCTAATTGTAAAATGCTAGTTTCACCACTTAATAGTGTCCATGACCACTTTTATCAGTGAAAAGGAAAAGTGAGCAATTTGATTTTTTTTAAAGGAATGGAGTCTTGCTCTGCTGCCCAGGCTGGAGGGCAGTGGTGCCATCACAGCTCACTGCAACCTGGAACTCCTGGGCTCAAGTGATCCTCCTGCCTCAGTATCTTGAGTAGCTAGGACCACAGGCACACACCAGACGCCTGGCTAATTATTTAAATTTTTTTGTGGAGACTGGGTCTCGCTATATTGCTTAGGCTGGTCTTAAACTCTTGGCCTCAAGTGATCCTCCTGCCTCGGCCTCTCAAAGTGCTGGGATTACAGGCATGAGCCCCCGTGCCTGGCCCAATTTGATCTTTGAGGTCCCTTCTAATGGGACTCACTGTGTCATTATGACCCCTTTCTTTCTGGGAAAGGGCCCATGCAAAGTCCTTGGTATGACAGTGGGTCACTGTTCCACTGCTGCATCCATGACCCATTTCCCCTCTGTGGGGCTGGCTTTCCGGCTGGTCTCCTAGGTTCCCACTACCACTCTCACCTCTACACGATCTGGAGTGGGTTGAATAGTGTCCCTCTGAAACTCACATCCACCCAGAATGGGACCTTATATATTACCTTTGCAGATGTAATTAGTCAAGAAAAGTCATACTAAATTAGGCCCTAAGTCCGATGGCTGGTGTCTTTACAAGAAAAGGAGAGGATAAGGCCAAGTGCAGTGGCTCACGCTTGTAGTCCCAGCACTTTAGGAGGCTGAAGCGGGTGAATCACTTGAGGTCAGGAGTTCGAGACCAGCCTGGCCAGCATGGTGAGACCCAGTCTCTACTAAAAATACAAAAATTAGCCAGGCGAGGTGGTGGGCGCCTGTAATCCCAGCTACTCGGGAGGTTGAGGCAGGAGAATCACTTGAACCCAGGAGGCAGAGGTTGCATTGAGCTGAGATCGAGCCACTGCACTCCAGCCTGGGCAACAGAGCAAGACTCCGTCTCAAAAAATAATAGAAAAGGACACATGATGAAGGAGAATGCCATGTGGAGATGGAAGTGGAGACTGGAGTGATGAGGCTACAAGCCAAGAAACACCAAGGATTGCAGGAGCCACCGGAAGCTGGGAGAGAGGCATGGAACATGAGAGCTTCCAGAAGGAACCAACCCTGCTGACATCTTGGTTTTGGACTTCTTACCTCCTGAGCTGGGAGAGAAGAAATATCTGTTGTTTTGAGCTACCCATTTGTGATCACTGGTTATGGCAGCCCTAAAAACTAATGTACTATCTTTCTATAGAATGAAACTCATTACCATGCTGATATGGTTTGGGTCTTTGTCCCTGCCCAAATTTCATGTCAAATTGTAATCCTCAATGTTGGTGGGTCCTAGTGAGAGGTGATTGGTTCATGGGGGTGGATTTCCCCTTTGGTGCCGTTCTTGTGATACCGAGTTACCGCAAGATCTGGTCATTTAAAAGTGTGTGGCACTTCCCCTCTTTCTCTCTCTTCCCCCTTTGCTAAGACGGGCCTGCTTTCCCTTTGCCAGAAGCCAGCATCATGCTTCCTGTACAGCCTGTGGAACTGTGAGCCAGTTAAACTTCCTTTCTTTATAGATTACCCAGTCTCAGGTATTTCTTTATAGTGGTGCAAGAATTCTCTGATACACATGCTCTTGCTCAAGACCCTTCAGTGGCTTCCGTGGATCACAAAGCAAAGCCTCAATTCTTCAGAGTGTTCTATAGAGTCATTCATGACTTTGCATCTGTTGGTTGCACCTCTGCTGACACACACTCTTTTCTGTAGCTACTCTGAATACTTCTGAAACACTC